GCATTGGGGCTGTTTGCTCTTTCTAAAGCACTTTCAGATCTGATACATTCCCTGCATTGTGGTGTTTGCTTTTTCCCTAAAGCTGTTCAAGGAGTTTTAAAAAATTACTGCATTTTGGGATGTTTGCTCTTTCCTAAGCATGTTTATGGAGTCTCATAAAATTACTGCTGTGGGGATGTTGCTCTTTCTGAAGCACGTTCAAGGAGTCTGATACAATTACTGCATGTGTGGATGTTTGCTCTTTCCTGAAGCATGTTCAAGGAGTCTGAAACAATTACTGCATGTGTGGATGTTTGCTCTTTACTGAAGCACATTCATAGAGTCTGATACAATTATTGCATGTGTGGATGTTTGCTCTTTCCTAAAGCATGTTTATGGAGTTTGATACAATTACTGCATATGTGGATGTTTGCTCTTTCCTGAAGCACGTTCATGGAGTCTGATACAGTTACTTCATGTGTGGATGTTTGCTCTTTCCTGAAGCACGTTTATGGAGTCTGATACAATTACTGCCTATGTTGATGTTTGCTCTTTCCTGAAGCATGTTCAAGGAGTCTGAAACAATTACTGCATGTGTGGATGTTTGATTTTTCCTGAAGAGCGTTCATGGGGTCTGATACAATTACTGCATGTGTGGATATTAGCTCTTTCCTGAAGCACGTTCATGGAGTCTGATACAGTTACTTCATGTGTGGATGTTTGCTCTTTCCTGAAGCACGTTCATGGAGTCTGATACAATTACTGCATGTGTGGATGTTTGCTCTTTCCTGAAGCATGTTCAAGGAGTCTGAAATAATTACTGCATGTGTGGATGTTTGCTTTTTTACCCTACTCACGGAATCAGATGCAAGATACATTTAATATTTTTGATGCGAGATCACAACAACCGGGTCACAAATCCATAAGGGCAAAATAAAGATAATGAGAGTAAATCAGGCACATATCATTTCTCTTAATGGTGTCCCACTCCAGGTTGTGGAGTCGTGCACCTGTTTGGGCTAAATGTAGATAATGATGGGGGAAACTGACAGATATATTAAAATACCAATACACAATGCAAGGAAATATGTGGAGGTCAAAAGAAATGAAAACTAATGCTAAATATTTTTTTTAAGTCTAAAGTTACATCAGTACTGTTGTACTGAGGGGAAACACGAAGAACAACTAAAACAGTAACTATTAAACTACAAAAAACAATCAACTTGTACCTGCGCAGAATAGAGGGAATTAAATGGTACGATAGAATCTCTCATGTTGAGCTTTGGGGGAGAATTAAACAAGTACCAGTGGACCAAGAGATGAAGAAAAGACGCTGGCGTTAGACATGACATACGTTGAGAAAGCCTGAGATCAATATAACTAGAATGTATTTGTATTGGAACCCACAAGGGCATAGAAATAGAGGCAGACACCCCCCCCCCTAAACAAACACACGGAGAAGGAAGCTAGAGAGTGCGCTTAAAAAGATAGGGGACAAATGGGGTGAGCTGCATGATACAGTGAAAGAATAAAACGACTTGGAGTAAGTTGGTTGAAGACCTATGCTCCATTGGGGGATGGAAGGAAGAAGAATATGGATGGCAAACCAACACAGTTGATGCCAGATACCTCGTTCAACCTACAAAAAAGTTATAATACGGCCCCTGTGACGACCACACCAGCCAAGGCCGTCTTCAATATTGAAGACGGTCTTGCACCAGCCATGTGTAACCTGCGATCATATGCCATAAGATCTTAACAGGGAGTAGCCGTGGTGTAGCGTTTAGACATTTGCCTGCGGATCGGAAGGTCGTGGGCTCGGGTCCTGATGGAGCCGGACTTTAAAAAAAATGACCTTGACTCCCTATCAAACCACCTTGAGTGGGTACCAGATACAAGCCCCATGAAGTAAAGGCGGCCGGCGTGATGCTGACCACAACACCCACCAAGTGCCGACTGATCTATAAAATATAGGTCTAGCGCTATATAACCAATACGTCTGACGGCGTAGAAAAAAGCTCTTTACTGTTTGTACATGTAAGAACACAACAACCTGGACGAAACGCTTCCCTTTCATAAACAAATTTCGAACAGGTCTTTGAACAAAGCTAAAGGGGCAGATAAGGCGACGGGTGTTTGGGTTCTTTTGCCTGCCTTCGAAAAGTTGTTTGAACGCGTCTGAAGGCAGTTGACTATAATCCTGAACTGTTGGAAAGTACATATCTGGTATAACTACTACCGCTGCTTCTGTTGCTTTTACTACTACTATCTCAGAGCAATCATTACAGCATTGTGGTCCCTGTGCAAACCAGTGTGCTACCGCCACTACGATAACCACTGACGGGAATGCAATCAGTATTTTTTGCAAGTCACTTGACATGCATAGACTGGACAACTGCCCAGTGGGCCCATTTGTTAAGAAGGTCCTGCCCCTCGACCAACCAGTATGTCGGGGCCACTACAACCATTCACAGTAATGAAATTCGTTTTTAATGCAAGTCACTTGACATACACAGATCAGAATGAGGTCCATATGCTCATAGGGCCTCCGGCCTAGTGTCTAGTGGGCCCATGCGTTTACACGGTACTCCTTTGACTACTGCTGCTGCTACTACTGCTACTGCTACTACTATTACTACTACTACTGCTGCTGCTACTACTATTACTACTACTACTACTGCCGCTGCTGCTACTACTGCTACTGCTACTACTATTACTACTACTACTGCTGCTGCTGCTAATACTACTACTGCTGCTGCTGCTACTACTACTACTGCTGCTACTACTGCTACTACAACAACAACTACTACTACTACTACTACTACTACTACTACTACTACTACTACTACTGCTGCTGCTGCTGCTACTACTGCTCCTGCTACTACTATTACTACTACTACTACTACTACTACTTCTACTACTACTACTACTACTACTACTACTACTGCTGCTACTACTATTACTACTACTACTACTATTACTACTACTACTACTACTACTACTACTACTACTACTACTACTACTACTACTACTACTGCTGCTGCTGCTACTACTACTGCTACAACTATTACTACTACTACTACTACTACTACTGCTACTACTATTACTACTACTACTGCTGCTGCTGCTACTACTACTGCTACTGCTACTACTATGACTACTACTACTACTACTGCTGCTACTACTACTGCTACTGCTAATACTATTACTACTACTACTACTACTACTACTGCTGCTGCTACTACTGCTACTGCTACTACTATTACTACTACTACTACTATTGCTGCTGCTGCTACTACTACTGCTACTACTATTACTACTACTACTACTACTACTACTACTACTGCTGCTACTACTACTACTATGACTTCTATGTCTCGCAGAAAGTTACAAAAACATGTGACAGAAACAGAAAGAGTTAATCAATGGCTCATTCCCGCAGACTTTGTAGTGCACAGAATAAAACTGGACAAAACCCGACCCCATTGATAAACAGAGATAGTAAACTGGCTTTTTTTAGCAAAAGGGCATGAACGGGGGAGATAAGGCGACGGCGTGTGTTTATGGTTTTCCTGCAAGACGTAGCCCGAACGCTGGTAACTGTTGTTGACCTACGATAACCTGTAGGTGTAAGGCCATTTATTTAAGCCCGACCTGTTACACACAATCAACACATTCGCCAGAACCAGACTCATGGCTGAAAACGACAAACGAGTCCTCGCCATTCAAAGCACTGTAGTGTTCGGTTATGTGGGCAATAAGAGTGCTACATTTCCCCTACAGGTAGGACTTTACTGTTCTCATTTCGCTCGTATTTTTTAATTTTTATTTTGTGGCAATGCATGGGACACAGAATTATAATACTAATTTGTCGTACATGACGTAAGAGAAGACTAAGGAGGATTGGTTTGCCGTTGCTACCTCATCCGCAGAAAACTTCACAAAAAGCAACAAATCGTAAACATGTGTGCAAGGGCCGTGAGTTGGTTGATGACCTATATTACATTGGGTATGGAGGAAAGAAGAAGAAGAAGAAGAGAAAGAAGAAGAAGAAGAATAAGTATGTGTGTGTACGAAATACACATAAATGTAACAAATCAGTTCTTCAGAATCTTTTAAATGCTCGATAATTTTTGCAAAGTTGCTCCTTTTATTGCACCCGCTTTAGCAGTTAGTCGGTTCTGTGGCTAAGTCGATGCGAACGCTTCGTAATGCATGGATGCCGGGTTCGATCCTAGTTGCGGGCCATGCGCCTTACGTTGGTTTCAAGTTTTTATAAGGAGTAGAAAATTATAGGGAAGAGAAAAAGTTGGTAAGAAACAACAATTAGTTTATGTTAGCTTTACAAAATCGATCACAATAAACAAACAAAGGACGTTGCGGCGATTAGCCTTCATCAGCACATAAAGGACAACACAGTACACATACACAAATAGGCTCTAACTATGAAGTGACTACATAGGACTCTAATGTATAAAATAGACGATACTCATCTAGTGTCCCTGGCGAAAAAACTTCGTTCAAATGAAAGGACGGTCAGCCTATATACCTCCAACGCGCAGGTAGGGGCAAAAAAAGGGACGGGTTGGACGCCAACAGCGTACACTAGGTGTTTAAGGAGGGAGGGGTTGGCCTATAGGGCGTAACCGGGGTTGAGTTGTGGGGATGACCTTAGTCCAACAGCGATATCAAGAAAGCTGACCGTCCAGATGCAATGGCAAACTACTGGACGTAAATTTTACCTAGAAAAACCACACAACAGCCAGGAGCTGTTGGGGTTGGTTCTGCAACGTCCTGTAAAGGATACGCAGCTAACCTTAACAGTTAGGGGCGCCGTTGCGGTAGTAGTAGTGGTAAATTGTCAGTAACATCCTCAATACTCAGGGTTATAACTGGGATATATACTGTTAATTGGCTTCTCAGAGTTTACAAATGCTATTTTCAATCTATATAAATATTTAAGTGACCAAAATGTCATTTGTATTGTTTTACATTTTGCGTTGATTTTGGTTGAGATTATGATGGAAATTGTAATATTAATAATTAGATAATCTTACTAACAGTGTGTCATTAACATAGTGGATATACTGTTTCTTTAGTGTGCAATCATTGATTTTTCTCCTTGATATTATCTTTAGGGAAAACTTCTTTAAAGGTTTCATGTGCCTTCTTTACCCTTCTATATATGGATTTTAGTCCTAGTAATAAATTGCTTGACCTTGCCACACAGCTCTCTAAAGCTGTTTACGTGCAACAAGTTTTCCAACGACATAGGTAATTTAGAGAGATTCGTGAAGTCAGTTAATGGTTTCCTTTGGTTTTCATATTTCCTGCACTCCAGCAAATAGTGCTTTATATTACTGTATTTCTGGCATAATTACAGCTCTCTTCCTGTAGAGAAAAGCAAGACCAACCAAGTTGTAGTCTAAGCAGTTTAAAATTGCATACTAGTTTAAGTCTGTTATTTGACTTTTTATTTTATGAGGATTTAACGACTTATACGAACGTCCACCCTTTAGGCTATGATCCCAGTTCCAGGACCTTTCCTGTGATATACATTTTGTAATCAGTTATTTGATGTGTCCGGTGCTCATAATTATGTTAACTGTGTTTTGATTGGCTCTCCCCCCTTTTTCCCCCTGCAATTTCATAACCCTGTATTCCCATATGAGCAGGCATACATACAACAGAAATGAGCATCCCCGTGTGTTTAGATATGTGACAGTCACAGAGATCTTTTCTGTGAAGTCTGGTCAGCTAAACATTTTTAAATGTTTTAAAGCTTGAGCAGTAGATAGGGAGTCTGTTAAAACTGTCGGTTGTTTCGGAGGATTGTCGTGTACCATTTTAAAAAATGTGAGTACATCAATCATTTCTGCAGTGAAAACTGGTAAATTATCAGGTATTTTATAGTTTTTCTTTAGTTTCTATTGCGGAATGTATAATCGTATTTCTAACTTGTTATTATCTTTTCTTTTGGACCCGTCTGTGTTGACTGGGAATTTATCCTTTATTAGATGTTGTACTGTGGTGTACCGGTTAGACTGGGCATCCGAAGATTATGGGTTGAAATCCGGACACTTCCGGACTTTTTCCAAAACTGACCTTGGCTCCAAGGTTGACCCAGTCTTAAATGGGAACCAGGTAAACGTCAGGGAAAGTAAATCGGCCGGCGTGATGCTGACCACATCACCCACCAAGTGCCGACTGGTATACACAGTTTAGGATTAGCCCTATATGCCCATTACAACTAAAGGTGGGGAATGGGATTTTTTTTTTTTTATATATACTTTACTTTAGCAGTTACCACGTTAACAGTTATTTCCTTACTTTGTTTGATTATCAGTAAATTTGTTCACCAATTGCTGCTACCAAACAAATGTTGTTAGTAATAGCAATAATAACAGTTACGTTTATACTTCCTTACGTCCTTCTTAGGACGTTATTTTTTGTTATTTGAGGCCCCACTCTGGCTATTGCCAGGGGCCGCAATATAGGCAGGTCATCATTATGGCCAAATGTCTGAACGCGGTTTCTGGGACCTCTCCACGGTGATCCTCATCCGCATAGTGGCACTTTGTGTCATCGGGTGTTTATCGCTTGTGTGATGTCCTGGTGGGGTAAAAAGCCAATCCAGCCAGTTACGTAAATTGATACTTTTCGTCCTTCTTAGGACGTTATTTTTTGTTGTTTGAAGCCCCACTCTGGCTTTTGCCAGGGGCCGCAATATAGGCAGGTCATTATTATGGCCAAATGTCTGAACGCGGTTTCTGGGACCTCTCCACGGTGATCCTCATCCGCATGGTGGCACTTTGTGTCATCGGGTGTTTATCGCTTGTGTGATGTCCTGGTGGGGTAAAAAATCCAATCCAGTTACGTAAATCGCCACTGAATGAGCTAAATGTCCAAACGGTTAGTTTTTGAATGTGTCTGTATAGTGCCCAAGCTTACACGATGCCAGGAACAATCTATTTAATTATAACCAGAGTAGATATTTTATATCGCAGTATGTAACAGTTATTAGGCATACTCAGGTATAGTGTCAGTGACCTATGTAGGTCATTAGGCTGGCTACGCACATACACACGGTAAGGTACTGTTTAATGTGGCTTGGTTATCTGTCCTTGATTTGCATAGCGTGGCACAAAAACCGCTGAGAAGGCAAATATTATTCCCCTCCAGTGGGATTATTCAGCTCAGTTTACTCATCGGCCACAGTGTTGACAATAGAGATCGCCACACGCCTGAGACTAGAGCCCTACGCTAGAAAGGTTAGTTGCGTATCCTTTACAGGATGTTGCAGAACCAACCCCAACAGCCCCTGGCTGTTGTGTGGTTTCTCTAGGCAAATACGCCCAGTAGTTTGCCATTGCACTGAACGGTCGGCTTTCGTGATACCACAGTCCAAACCAACACAAGGCCCATGGCCCGGCATCCCGGCATTACGAAGCGTTCGCATCGACTTAGCCACAGAGCCGACACGCTAGAAAGATTATTTAAATAATACAGTTGGTGATGATCGGTGGGCCACTTGCCAAACCTTTGTAGGCCGGATTCGGCCCCTAGTCCTGTCCTGGAGAGTTACAGTTCTTAGTTAAAATATAGATCAGGTCATCTGTCATCATAACAACTAAGATCTACAGCAAGAGAGATCTAGTACCTCTTCTCTTGCCAGGATAATATAGTCTCACAGTACTTTAATTTTAATTCACTCCCTCTCGGGGATTCCGAGATTTCTTGGGGAGTTCCCAGAATAGTCCAATGGGAAAGGGGGGGGGGGGGGCTAGATTAGCTTTGGTCAGTGTCCATTTCAAACTCTAACACCCCAATACTATTGGCCTTTCTCGAGAACTATCCATGAAATCTCGAATTTCCCGAGATGGGGTGAAATAAAATAAAGGAAACTCACAGTCTTTCCGGGGCTTCTGTTGAATTTTTATCGGTTTTTTTTTTCTGGCAGCAGACAATGGTACACATTTGGTGCACATTTTTTTTTAAAGCATAATTTTGTTTTCAATACTTGTGTAATAGGCACTTAACGGTGAGTACCGGCACCATTTGAAACCTGTGTGTGTGTGTGCGTGCGTGCGCGCGCGCGCGTGTGTGTGTGTGAGAGAGAGAGATAGAGAGAGAGAAAGAGAGAGTAACAACACTTTAATTTTCCTAGAAAAAAAATGGATGTTATCCTTCTTTTCAGACTGCAGTTTTCCTGTTGTATTTTTTGTATTACAGCAGCATGTTTATCATTTTCTTTTGATATGTCTCCCTCTTTTTTGGGGTTTCTCATTGTCATTTGTTGATGAAGACTTGTCACCTCAAAAATTGCTACCAGAAACAAAGTAGAAGTTACAGTTTTATATATAAAAAGCATCATAATACTTAGAAGAAACTTACAACAGCAGCTTGTCAAATGTGTCCTCTTGTCCTGCAGTAGCTGATAATGATAACAGTATCCCTGGCTGCAGATAATTAGTTCCTAGCATTCACCTCATGTGCCAGTTAGAGATAACTGGTCCCTATCAGCACTTGTCAGGAGCACACACAATTTACGGGTCCCCGTTATTCAGCAGTGTGTGGTCTCTAGGACATGTATTATTATTTTACTTTGTAACTGTCAGAAGTCTGATAACAGAAACTAGTCAAAATTTTTAAGTTTTTGTTTGTTTGTTCACCAGCTGTAAACTCTGACGGAAAGTTCTAGTTGTTCGTCTACTTCTGGACTTTAGTCCTGTTCCAGAAACTTCAGTATGCACAACCGTTTTACAGATCTGTCGTATGTGAATACAGACTGTTGGTTCCTTACCTCTCAGGCATATGCACTCTGACTTCAAAGGAATTCCCTAATTAGTCGACTCGTACGGATCTGTCTGTTATCCCTGATAGGACCCGGAACCCACACGGGGAGCTGAATCTGACTGTTCTGTTCTCTGTCTGACTGTTCTGCTCTCTGTCTAACTGTTCTACTCTCTGTCTGACTGTTCTGCTCTCTGTCTGACTGTTCTGCTCTCTGTCTGACTGTTCTGCTCTCTGTCTGACTGTTCTGCTCTCTGTCTGACTGTTCTGCTCTCTGTCTGACTGTTCTGCTCTCTGTCTGACTGTTCTGCTCTCTGTCTGACTGTTCTGCTCTCTGTCTGACTGTTCTGCTCTCTGTCTGACTGTTCTGCTCTCTGTCTGACTGTTCTGCTCTCTGTCTGACTGTTCTGCTCTCTGTCTGTCTGTTCTGCTCTCTGTCTGACTGTTCTGCTCTCTGTCTGTCTGTTCTGCTCTCTGTCTGACTGTTCTGCTCTCTGTCTGACTGTTCTGCTCTCCCTCTGACTGTTCTGCTCTCTGTCTGACTGTTCTGCTCTCTGTCTGACTGTTCTGTTCTCTGTCTGACTGTTCTGCTCTCTGTCTGTCTGTTCTGCTCTCTGTCTGACTGTTCTGCTCTCTGTCTGACTGTTCTGCTCTCTGTCTGAAGACGTTGGTCTGTGCAAAAATGAGATACTAAATCTTTTGGTGTTTCTCATTTCAGAAGCTTTGTAGACTCATTATGCTAATTCGTTTACCTTACCTTTTACCTTTTATTGTAACACTGAGGTTATCTAACCTAAAAGGAAATTGTCCAGTAAGTAAAGGTAGCTGGCGTGATATTGACAATATCACTCCCTGAGTGTTACTTCTTCTTCTGCCTTCTATCCTCACTCATCCACATATTTAACTTCACCCTCTAATTTCCGTCTCCGTGTATTCTTTAGTCTGCTCTTCTTTTTTTAACCCTGTGGTTTCCAGTGTAAAGCTCTTCTAGTTATTTTGTCCTCAGGTTTTTTTAATGTTGTGTCCTACCCAACATCAGTGTCTCTTCTTTACCTTTTGATTTACTGGAACTTGTTTAGTTCTGTTCCAGCGCTCAACATCGGTGACTATATCATACCATTTAATTCCCACTATGTACTGCGAAGGCGCCAGTTAATGAATGTTTGTAGTTTATTAGTAATTGCCTTAGCTGTTCTCCTTGTTTCTGCTCCGTACAGCAGTACTGATTTGACATAATTAACAAGCATAAGCTTAATATTATTTTAATTGCCTTTGACTTCCACAAATTTCCAAGGGCTGTGAAAACTCCTCATGTCTTTTGTCTTCATTATCCTTGTCAATTTCTCCATCTTTATCTACCCTACTGCTCAAACAGGTGTATGACCTATATCTTGGTAAGGGATGTAATCAAGAGAAATTAGACTATATTTTACCTGGTTTGTTTTCATTATATTCTTCTTTTCCTTATGGATTTTTAGTTATAACTGTTGTGATCTCACATCAAGAATGTTTAATATATCTTGCATCAGATTATGTGAGTTGGATAGAAGAAACATATCATCAGCGAAGTCCAGGTCATCAAGCTGTTTTGTAGAGGTCCACTGAATTCCATTCTTGGTGGCAGCTTTTGCTGTCTTCATAATCCAGTCTATTGTCAGAAGAAATAGAGAGGTGACAAAAGGCATTCCTGTCACACACCTGTTCTTATTTCAAATGCATCTGCTAGTTTTCCCTCATAAACAGCTCAACATTTCATGTCTTTTTATGTTGCCTTTAAAAAAAAATTATAATTCCGCTCCAGTGTGGATGTGAACTCTTGACTTTCTGATCAGAAGGCGAGCTTCTATGCACTATGCTACATCGGCTCCTGAAGCTTCAGTTAGTCAATTATTGAAAATATGGTACTAACACCTTGTGGCCAAGATGTGCAAAGGTATGAAATAGGACCTTTCAGGAACGGTCACAGTTTCTGTGTTATAAGAAACTATTAATGGAACAGTTACCATGTCTAATTCTTTATATGCTTCTGAATAGTTGTTCATAATGTTCGACTGTCACATAAATTGTTTAAATGTATAAACATAAGAAACCTAGACAATGAAGACAAATTATAAAGATGAATTAAGGCCTTGCAGATCTGAATATACTGTAAAGTGGGTCGTATTTCATGGAAACAGAAACAGGTATAAAGGTTTTTGTTTGGAGGAGCAGAATGAAAAGACCTCTATAAAAACCAAACTGTAGTGAAAGTGAAGGCAGGTGAGTAGGAGGTTGACAAAGACAAAAGTGGGTGGGCAACCTAAAGGGATAGATAAATAACAGGATGAAAGAGTGTATATAATCAGGGCAAGAGAGAGATGTGGAGTGTGATGTGTTTGCGTGCATGTGAACTGAGTCTGTCTGTCTGGTTGGGAGAGGGGGTTTTGGAGACACCCAGTGCCAAGCCTCATTGTGAAGGTGGCATAATAATAATTGATGTATACATTTTCTGCTGCACAGTTCATGTACCAGCTAGAGAGTTGGCAGGTAGGTGTTGCAAGCAACATAAACAGATAACTGTTTCAGAGGACAGAGTAGACGTAACTTTACGGCACACGGGTTGGCCCATAACTGCATTACAAATTACACAAAATGTCCTTCACTGGCCCAACTGAAAATGAGTGGGATAAAAAATGTAAGTCCCAGCAGAACTTTGAAGCTTGCACATGCAAAGTAAATGGATAAGACAGTGTCAGATATTCCAGTGCTAACAGCCCTACACTAGAATTGCAGATCAATGTTGATGCAAGCAGTCAGTTATGAAAACCAACATTGTGCATGTAATACTGTATAAGTACACACCATTCCCAATTCCCACTGCACCCCCCCCCCTCCCTCACCCCGCACTAATTTTTAAGGCACTTCACAACACACTCCACATGAAATCCACAGCTCACATTGTCGCACCAAGCACTTAACCAAGTAGTTGAGCAAGGTAATTATTTTTACTCCCGTCCAGAAATGGGTAATGTACACTGTAAGCCCTGGCTAGAAATAAATAACTGTTCTGAGCACCTGTGGGTAAAACCAGCTATCTGCAATAGAGGACTGGAAGTCCGGTCATTTTATGAAGCTAGATTGGTCCCAAAGCCCTTGTTGACATTAACACAAAATCCTGTTTTGTTACAGACATTAACACAAAATCTTGATCATCAAAATTCTGTCTTTGGGGAATCCACGGATTGGGTTTTTTTTTTTAAAACGTACAGAAACACCTTAAACCCTTTGCAGACTAGGATATCTTGAGTCGGCATAATTCCATTATAGTACCGTTAAGTAAAATTTGGCTTATTTTCCACCCCCGGAATCCCCGGACGGATTGTGGTTTAACTAACTTTGTTTGGGCACGGATTGTTTGTTGCATTATATTTTCAGCTACATGGCTATGATGTCAGCACAATCAACTCAGTCCAGTTCTCCAATCACACAGGTGAACAAGTTTTTCACTTTAGGATGTGTTGATTTGTCAAAAAATATTCTCAATTCCGTAGGACTGATAATTTATATCATACCACCTTACAGAGTGCTAGAAATACATTACTTAGTCTGCTGTGTTAAAAAGGCAAAAATATTTTTGTTTGTTTATTTATTTTTCTCAGGATAATCAATACAGTAACTATTTCATAGTTATACACAACACATGTTTTCAATAACAGTAAATATATAATTTAAAGCATATGCTAATGAACATTGTCTAAGTAGTCATAAGGCACTATTATTTCGGAGAGGATAAGAACTTTGTGTCTGAGGAGAAGCCTAGTAATTACATATGATGGCAACAGAAGTCCTGAAATCCTACACACTAATTGTAAAAGCCTTTTCTCAACATGCTGGAGTCTTGCTAGTCACACTCGCCATTACCATGATTAGTAAGTCCCATGACTACTTATAGCACAATATAATATTATCATCTAGCAAGATGGAAGGTGTCAACATTAATCACTATCCAAGCTAAGTATAACTTAGAATTCCCCGCGTGGGTCCCAGGGCCACATTGTGGGGAAAACAAGAATAGACCCACTGCCTCCCCAACAGGTATGTCAAAGGAGTCGACTAATTGGGGGTTTCCTTTGAAGTCAGAGTGCATCTGCCTGAGAGGCAAGGAACAAACAGTCTGCATACAAATAATTCAGATTTGTAAAAACAGATGTGCATGAAACACACAGGTTCTGGAACAGGTCTAAAGTCTAGAGGTGGATAAAGAACCAAAACTTTGCGCCAGAATTTGCAGCGGGTCAACGGAAAGAAGAAGAAAAACTTAGAATGTATGAAATGAATTATAATTCAAATAACAAGAGTACACATAATATAAATGACTGGAAGAAGTTGTTTTATTAAATGTAAATATAGCAAATGAATGCATTAAAAAATAGCTTTCTGGTAACTTTCCATCTTCCCAGCGATACATTATGATCTAGGGAGGCATAGAAATCACAACCCTGTTGGTGGTGAGTGTAACTAGCAAGACGAGTCTTCCTTAAGAAAAGTCTTAGCTAGTTTATCCACAATACGTGCATGCAATCTGAGGCCTGAAATTTTGGAGCTAGTCTCAAGTTTTCCAGAGCTTAAGTAATTGATAATATTTATTGTTTCAAATAAAAAACAATACATTAAACATCAATCTTTTACAATTCTTCTTTTTTTTTTGTTGTGCTTGAAATAGATTATCTATATCTTCAATGTTGTCTCTAATTTGAACTTCACACTCTTTTGTAATTCACTCAGCGACCTGTAAAGTTTGACTTGCACCGATGTTTATCTTGGCCAAAAGTTTTGCCTTAGTATTTCATATTTGGGACAATCTTGGAGGACGGGATCTTTTGTCTTAGGTACCAATCTACATGGGCATTTGGCAGATTTACCAATTGTAAATTGTGTGTACAGTGCTTAATAAAAACTAGTGTTTTATCTCAGTACCTTACAGAGCATGTTGAGAAGGATGGAGACAGGCATGATCTGCTAAAGCAGGCGAAGGACTTTGCATATCTGGGAAGCCTTTTTTAAGAAGACGAAGGCATGAATAAAAAATCCAAGAAAGATGCAATAAAGCCATATAAAGTTTTAGGCCAAATGGCACCAATTTTGAAATGCAAGTATGCAAATATGAACACTAAAGAAAAACTAACACAATATTCTTACCAACGCTCTGCTATCAATGTCAAACATGGACACTTTCTTCAGAAGACAGAAGAAAATAGTCACGACAGAAATGAAATGTTTACATACTATGCTAAGTGTAACAAGGAAAGATCGACTTAGGAACGATGATATTAGGAGGAGAATCGGCACAGAACCAATACTGAACTTTATAGGTAGACGACAAATCAAAAGGTTTGACCATGTAACAAGACTGGCAGCAGACAGGGCCCCACAGAGAGCATTGTTATACAGATACAGTGGTAACAGATTCAGAGGTCAACCACTTAGAAGACATCTGAGACACTGAAAAGTACTATATAGGAAGCGACATAAGTGCCTGTTTTACTGATCTCTTCCTCCCCTGATGCTGCGAGCAATTCCAGGAGTAGAGAAAAAAAAAAAAAAAAAAGAAAGTGTGCGCATGTGGCTGCAAAGTTGATTGTGTACCATTCTAAGGCATAGAATAATAACTTGCTTTAGTCTGTCCATAATAGGCTAATGGTCTTGTGCCAGTTTTGGTGGATTTCTGATTGATTTGAGGATTTTCTTCTTCTGTTGATACGAGACTGTTACTTGCAGTTGTTCTTCATTTGCACCTTCCTTAGCTAGTTCATCAGTTCTTACAATTCACACATAAGCTTTGCGATATTGCATAACCAAACATAATTGTTTGGCATGGGAAATGAGATGCCTGAGAAAAGCCACCAACTTAGCCGTCTAAAATAAAGTTAGAAGTGATATAATCAGACAGACTGTAGGAACAGCACCTTGTAGCAAGTTCATTGATAAACACAAGCTCAAATGGTTTGGTCATATAGTACGAATGCAGTCAGAACAACTACCAATGCAGATGCTACACATGAAAAGATCTGAAGTGAAAGCAAGAGGCCACCCTAAGAGAACATGGACTGATGACATTAAAGAGCTTCTACTTTGAAACGAAATGATAATAGCGGTTGCTTCCCATCAAGAAATGGATGACAAACAATTCCTCCAAAAACTTAACGGCAGAAGTGGAAAGCGTTGATGATGATGATAAATATAGATTATTGAAATAGAAAAAAAGTTCTCCATATATCCCAATTATAACCTGAATAGGTTGAACAGGATATAGTTGTTTATAATTATGCATTAAACATGTTTTTTTCCCAGGTTATGGCAAATGGAAAGGTCAGATCTTGGACGCTGAGGAAGTGGCTGATTTGTTTGAGGGTCTCAGAATTAATAATCTGCTCAATTTCTCCTTTGTACTGACTGGTGAGTTCTCAAAACAAACAAAAAACAAAAACAACCACTAAGTGGTGCAACACACACACATATGCATGCACACCATTCAAATACAGTGCTTAATGAAAACTAGTGTGTTATCTCAGTACCTAATAGAGCATGTTGAGAAAGGTGGAGACAGGAATGCTCCATGCAGAGTCGCAATCATTACTTCAGAGGTTCCGGGTAGTTAGCATCTTTTAGATATTTTCTCAAAGTCATGCTTGTGTGTTGGGAAATGAGCAGGCAGATAGACTGGCCAGCTCAGCACCACTTGGTGGTAAAGTGATTTATGACAAGCTAGATGTTGTGTTGGCCCTTTGGGAGTGAGTGAACTGTGAAGAGGCATAAATAGATAATTATGTTCTGACCAAAATCGTACTGCGAGGAGTTACCAGGGGATCTGGCCAACACTCAAGGTAAGGTGAGATGGATATAGAATCAGACAGTTACCCGTTCCATCGGAATTAGAACTCTTTACTGCCGAAGATGAGGACAGAAAGCTTATGGGAGTGTCTCCGGTGCTTTGATGTCGATTCTTAATTCAACATTCAGTACCTCAAACACATATACTATTGACATCACTGATGAAAGATACTGGTACATCTGTTCAGTTGACAAATGATCTTACAAGAAGTAAAGGACCTTTTACCACACCTTCAGGCACATTGGGCATATGGCGCTAGACCTGTATTTTATAGACCACTCGGCACTCAGTGGGTGATATGGTCAAATCATGCCAATCGCCTTTACTTCCCTGGACTTTACATGTAACTCGTTTAAGGCTGGATTAACCCGGGAGATAAGGTCATTTTAAAAAAAAATCAGGCACTAATAGGGTTTGAACCATAACCTTTGAATCTGCTGGCAGCAATCTAGCTGCTACATCACAGCAGCTCCCACTCCCATTGTTTCAGTGTAAGAGGATTGATTTATTACACCAGGTGTTGTCCCGTGTGACTGCCTCACCGTCTGCAGAGCAGCAGTTCATCTAATGAGATCATGGAACAAAGCACAAAACACAGTAGCTTTAGCATTATTTCAGCATTTGTTGCCCATCAGGACAGTACTGACTGACTTTCTACCCCACTAGGACACCACACAAGCGATAAACACCCCATGACACAAAGTGCCACTATGTGGATGAGGATCGCCGTGGAGAGGTCCCAGAAACCGCGTTCAGGCAATTGGCCATATTTATGGCCTGCCTATATTGCGGCCCCTGGCAAAAGCCATGGTGGGGGCTTCAAATAACAAAAAATTTCGTCCTGAAAAGGACGGACCTGGGATCGCTATAGGACAGTACTTGGGTCTGTCTTCATTTACTGCCTCAACACTGAAGGAGTCCTTTATCAGAACTATTAGTGGCGTGCGATGCTAAACCATTTTATATGGGGCATGTAACTAGTCACAGTTATAACCTCAAGCTTCCCCCTTCAGAGATGCTGACTGAAGGTAACAATTTTTCTTTCCAGCAAAGAACCTACCTACCTACTTAAGACATCCCTAGAAGTTCATGGGTGGGGAAGGGTGTGTGTGTTTGTTTGTTGTTTCACTTCCCCTCTTTGTTGAGCTTCTTAGTCATAGTTAGTGGATTAATATCTTGGTATTAACTTGACTGCATGCAAGATTAATTGATTATTTTTATGCGAGATCACAACAATTAGGTCTAGATATCCATAAAGAAAAAACAAAGATGATAAGAATAAATCAGGCAAATATTATTGTGGTTTCTCTTAAAAGTATTCCACTCCAAGAAGGGGAGTCCTATTTGGGCAATAATGTAGATAAAAATGGTTGATCTGATAGAGATATTACAATACAAAAAGCAAGAGGAGCTTTCATTGCACTAGGCAATCAATGGATGTCAAAAGAAATCAAAACTAAAGATAAACTTAAAATGTTTAATTCTAATGTCAGATTAGTACTTTTGTATGGGGCGGAAACGAGGAGAACAACTAAAATAGTTATTAATAAACTACAAACATTCATTAACTGGTGCCTGCACAGAATAGAGGGAATTAAATTGTATGATAAAATCACTAATGTAGAGCTTTTGGAGAGAACTAAAAAAAAATTTCCAGTGAACCAAGAGGTCAAGAAAAGACACTGGCTTTGGATAAGACACAAGTTGAGAAAACCTGAGAACAAGATATATATATATATAAGGAAGACCAAAAACCACATGAAGAAAGGAGCTAGAGAGTGGAGTTAAAAATATTGGAGGATATGGGGAGAGCTGCATGTGGTAGCAAAGGATAGAACAACTTGACGTGAGTTAGGTGAGGGCCTATGCCCCACTGGGGACAGAAGGTAGAAGAAGAAGAACGACCACAGTCACCCCTGTTTTCATACTCATGACGAAATGCTTGGTACTGTAAGAGTTGAAGTTCCTTTTTTTTTTTTTTCAAATTGCCTTTCAGTATGTGTTTTTTTAGACATATTATGAAAAGAAACTGACTCGAGAACTTGATAACAACTGGTAATATTGACAGAAAGAGGGCAAGAGAAAGGCAAAGAGATAAATACCTGGATGGGGTGACACAAAAATATTAAATGGGCATGTGTGTGTGCGTGTGTGTGTGTTTGCACGTGCGTGCATGCGTGTGTGCATGCATGCATGCATTTGTACTTGCATGAATGTTCATACACATGTACATAACAAAGTTCAACAAACTTTGAGATCAAATAACCCCTCTTTCTAGAAGGAGGTTATGAATGTATGTGTTCTTCAATCTGCCAGGCTACATTGGATCAGAAACTTTCCTACAGAAAGTTGGAGATACAATTAAAGAAATGAAGTCAAAAAACCCGAGTCTGATCTATGGTAGGTATTCTGTTTGTTTAGGTTTACAAGTTATTGTGTGTGTGTGTGCATGCATGTGTGTGTGTGTGCACGTGCATGCATGTATATGTGTGTCAATGCTTCAACTGGCCAGAGACAGGTATTTCTTTCAGAGATACCTCAGTTAAGGGATTTTGTATATTCTTGTTTGTGTTTGCAACATTGTCTATTCATGTAATGTGCTGATGAAGGCTTTTTAGCCACAACGTTTCCTTTTTGATTAAAATTATGATAATTTAAAGCTAACTAGTTCTACACTCCATTTGTTTTTTATTTCTTCATGATATTATGTTATTTTGCTGCATATTTCTTTTCAGTGATAATGGTATGTTCTTCTTCTTTTGTGTTCATGATTAAAATGGTGGCTGGTATGTTGTGATTTACAGCTAGGTTTGCTTTTGAACCCAACACATCTAATTTTAGTAAATATCTAATTAGTCACCTTATACAACATGTATGTTTTTTTCTTCAGGAGCAGTGGATCCACCCACCCCCCTCCACCCCCACTGCCGAAATCAAAGTGGCTGCAGAAACCACATTGTACATGAATTATATTAACTTTTAATTATGAAGAGCAGTTTGTCATACAAGTCTGTTTTGAAAATGAAATTAGGAAAGATGTGAATAATTTGAATCATCCCTGTCCCCACTCTTGTCTCCATCTTGAACTGGTAGAGAGGTTTTGCTGTTCCCCTAAAGCAATCACTATGCCAGTGATAGCACAGCTACTTGCGGGCTCTCCTATATCAGAAGTAAAGTAAAGAACCCTTTTACGAACACCTTCAGGCTTGTTGGGCATATAGGGCTAGATATATCTTTTAAGATATATATTAGGTGATATATTAGGTTCAACATCACGACAGCTGCCTTTACTTTTCAGGACTTTTCCTGGTACCCAATTAAAGCTGTATAGACCTGGGAGTTGAGGTATTTACTTTTTAACATCTGGCTCCATCAGGACCTGATCTGCAGGAGAGCTTCTAGTTGCTACACCACAGTGCCCCACCCCACCCCCACCCCCACCCATATCAGAAAGTCATGGAATAAAGGCCAGTAAAAAAAGAGATACAAACCTGTTACATTGTAGGAAATTTCACAGTGGCTACTAAGAAATAAAATACTTTTCAAACTAAATATGTGGCATAAAATAATAATGCATATAAAAAAGAGTACAAAAAGACATTCATCTATTATGTGGATGTGCACCAGTAAAGAAAATTATCTTTTTTATAAATGTCAATGCTTATTTCAGTTTGTGATCCTGTGATGGGGGATAATGGACATTTGGTGAGTAAATAATTGTAACTTTTGGTTTCTTAGTTTGTTCTTCCAGTTTTTTCCCTGCGGGTTTGCAGTCTGTAGGATTAACACCCCAAGGATGAGAATCAAACAGGTACAAATCCAAGAAACCCTATTAAACTATAAAGCCATATAGCACAGTTACATTGTGGCTTCTATGTTGATTAGCGGGCTCTGGTACGATATCACAATCGTCTCGGGCTTGAGTCAGAAGTAGCATTTATGGGTTACCCCTTATGCCATGATGTTGATCTGTCATCTAAACCACAATTATCACAATCAACATCATTGCACTTTGGTCATTCTCATGAGTTCTCAGTCCACCAATGCAGCAGCTACTCTAGGGTACCTCTACTGACGGTTTGCATGAGAAGTTGGTTGTAATGTCTCCTATCTTGATTTTGAAGACAACATAGCTGGCTTCACCAGTTTGTACTCCCAGGACATGTAATCGTGTAAGTGTCAAGAGACTTGTCACTATTTACCAGCCTAGTCCATATGGCATGGATGATATCAGCTCTGTACGTGGATGCACTCTCGCTCGCCCAGGTGCCTAGATCCAGGGGAAGAAGTTTAAGTGTGCTTATGAGGGCTGTCTACCCTTTCAGAGTGGAGGCTGCCTGTTGCAGGGGGGAAGAGGAAGTGTGGTATTGGTTGATTCAGTGACAGAAGGAAGGGGAAGTATAGTACTGATTGACCCATACCAGAGGATAGGGGGAAATGGCATTGATTGACTCATACCATAGGGAAAGGGGAGTGTAGTATTGATTGACCCATTCCAGAGAGAAGGGGGAGTGTGGTATTAATTGACTCATATAGGAAAGTGTGAGTGTAGCATTGATTAACTTACTAACCAGAGGGAAGGGGGAGTGTAGCATTGATTGACTCATAGAGGAATGGGGGAATGTGGCATTGGTTGACTCATAGAGGAAAGGGGGGAGTGTGGCATTTATTAACTCACAGAGAAAAGGGGGAGTGTAGCATTTATTAACTTACTACCAGAGGAAAGAGGGAGTGTAGCATTGACTGACTTACTACCAGAGGGAAGGGGCAATGTGGCATTGATTGACCCATACCAGAGGGAAGGGGAAGTGTGGCATTGGTTGACTGTGTGTGGTGTTAGTAGACAATTAGTGATATATTTATGTATATGATTTAATTAAATATTGGTTGGAATGTTTCATTCTGTTTTCCGTCGACTCATTTTTACGATACCCAGTGGAGGATGTCTGGTTATACAGACAATGTCCAGTTGCACTTACAAAAGGATGGGGATGATGAGTGATAACATCTTACACGTTTCACCAATTCACAACCACACACTTACTTTATCGTGAAGCTCTTGTATAAATGAATGTGTCCATCCAACATTTCATACTTGAACATACATGCATACATGAATCCCCCCCCCCCCCCCCCCCCCCCCGCCCCCCCCCCGCCCCCCCCTACAGGTTCAAGAACACTTACAGGTTTAAGAACATTATAAGGCTGATGCAGCTAGATGATATGTATATTTTTTATATAATTAATATTCATATTACCATTATTTCTATACATTTTAAAGCGTAACATGGGTGAGAATTCATCCTCCAACATTTCCTTTTTTATATACATTTCTAATATTTGAGACACTTGTTTAATTGTGATTCTCCATGATTATTATCTTTTCTCATGAAAATATTTCCAACTTCAGTATGTGAGTGAGAAGCTGGTTCCAGTATACAGAACTGAGATCGTAGAACAAGCTGATATCATCACACCCAACCAGTTTGAACTGCAGTGAGTTTTCTGACTGCTATTGTCCCTTATTGCGTTGTTTTTTTGTTTTTTTTTAATGTTAATAATGTTCATTGATTATAAATTATTTTACATGCAAACAGAAATATGGGTATCATTTTCAGTTTAAACATTCATTTATTTATATTCCGTGAACAAGGAACATTTGCCCACAATGTCCTTTTATTTATGGAATGCTGCCTTTGAGTTTCTATGCATGTTACTTCTGTACTGTTTACTCCATCGGCTATCACTGATGTGAAATATAAAATGAAAGCAAGCAGAGATTTATCTATTTCTCACAGTGCTGACCTGTTTGAGATGGTTTGGGAAATTTTATCTCTTTCTGCTGTTAATGTTTGGTCATCTGCAAATAAAGACTCTGAAAATATTATCCTCTTCTTCAATCTCTGCATGCCTTGTCATCATAAGCTGCTAAAAAGTCCAGGGGTCCATAATGCTGTTTTGACAGCTCTGGGTATGTTATCTGTGGTCCTAATCCCTTCCGTGGTGTCATTGGTATAAGGGAGATAACAATTTGAACATATGATCATTGAGATGGTGGATAAGCATTCAGACAGCTTTACTAGTCATGACTCTTGTTCTGAGATATACTATGGTCTCCTTTATGTATCACAAATATATAGGTAACCCCATACACATGTGACATAAATACCAGGTCATGACATTATGAAGTGGAGTCACCAAGCTCTGCTTCCATTATGTCTGAGTTAGAGCTCTCTTTGTGCACTATCTCGTGGAAACATTATCATGACTAAATGTTTCAGTATTGTCCTCACTTCAGACTGTTGACCCAGCTGCCTGTGGGAACTGAGGAGGAAGCTTTGGCAGCCATGAGTAAACTCCACGACAGAGGTTGTAAAGCCAGGAGCATGACAGAGGTGTTGGCACGGTGGGAAAGGTCTGAGCAGTAGCAATCTTTCAGGTTTCAGATACCACCGGAATACAGTGACCAGCTGGTCTGCTCCTGCATGCCACAGCTAGTGTCAGAAAAGGTCAGTGTGTGGTTTGCAGAGAGTCCCATACTACTAAGACAGAGACGCACTCCACCATTTCTGAAACACGAACATCACAGTTCTTTCAGATAACCCCCAGTCAGTTCAGATGCCAGCCTGAATACATTTAAAGAAAAGTCTTCTTAAAAGTATCTAAAACTATTAAATCTAATAAGATCTACAGATGTAGCTAAAAGTGTATGTTCTGTTCTGGAACTTATTCCTAGATTTTTTAATTTTTTTTAAACACAGGACAACTTGAACTTTTTTGAAGTACCGACGAAGTGGGGCAAATACGGGCACACCTAAAAAACGTGACTATCCCAATGAAAATGGGATATATGGTCATCCTGGGTACACTCAATTGATAGAAAAAAGTTAAAAGAATAAGGAGGTAAAGGAGGAAGACAACTACATTTCATAAATGAGTATGTGCCCTAAATGTATATTCCTCTTTTACTGATCACACAGTGCGTACAGACAACATACATGTGTGTATGTGTGTGCACTGTATTTTCTCTTCATTCAATGATCAGATACTCTGGGCAATATGTATGTATGTATGTATGTATGTATGTATGTGTCTGGATGATTCTCTTCTTCTTCATTCAATAATCAGATGGTGAGTCCAGGCAGTATCGTCTGAAGATGCCAATAATTGATGCCATCTTTACTGGTACTGGAGACCTGTTTGCTGCATCATTTCTGGCATTTATAGACAAACACACAGATTTGAAGGTCAGATTATTTCTCATGTCTTATGTTATGTTATCACAGTTGATATCACTGCACTTTGGGCATTCCCAGCATTGCACATTCTCATGTTTTACGCGAGCACATGCGTTGTGTGTATGAGGGCAGGGGGGGGGGGGGGGGTGTATGTATGAAAGAGAAAAGACAGAGACATGTAAGCAATTCATACCAACTAAAACTTTAAGAGATTCGTTCAAGTCAAGAGGATTGACTTCATTGCACCAGGCTTTTCCCCATATGACCCATTCTCTCTCTGTATAATGGCTAGCTACCTGCCGAGAGTGATTCACAAACAATAAACTCTGTAGCTCCGGTGACAATCCCCGACGATCACCATAAAAATTGCACTCAGGAACTGAACAACAAGCAGTGAATGAACCCATGACCTTCAGAGCATAAGACAAAGGGCTTGACCCCTCAGAGACCTGTAATCTCTGAACCATGCAGTTTTTTAAAATAAAAATTATGTACTTGTCTTAGGCTGTATCTTACGACTCATGGGACTTGAACTATTATTTGATTTTGCATGTGATGTTGCAGTGCTGGGTTTTACATGTAATGTTACTTATATCTGTACTGGTTCTTGTATTTTTGTTCTTAAATATTTTTACAATTTTTATATAATTGTTACGAGATGAGATTGGTTGATAGGTTGGTTAATCAAACTATTCACTGTTTAATTGATAGGTTGGTTGATCAAACTATTCAGTTTGGTTGATAGGTTGGTTGATCAAACTATTCACTGTTTGGTTGATCGGCTGTGATAAATTTGTCTGTCAGTCACAACATCCTAAACTGAGCTGGCTTTTTAACTCTTGGCTCAAATTATTAATTGCAAGAGGTAGGTAGGTAGGTAGTTGTACCCCACCAGAACATCACACAAACGATAAACACCCAGTGACACAAAGTTCCACAATGCCAATAAGGATCACCCATGTAGAGGTCCCAGAAACCCCTTTCATCTATTGGGCCATATCTATGGCTAGGCCTTATCTCTGCCCTGGCTATATTCAGGGCCCCCGGCAGAAGCCAGGATGGGGCTTCAAATAACAAAAAAATTGCATTCCACATGGGGAAAACTAAGAATTAACTGCAAGAGTAATAGAGTGCCCTTCTATGTCAACATCCTGTAGCCATCATGGGTGTGGAATGGGGCATTAGAAGTCACTGCTGACCACAGGGCCAGCTGGCAAATGGGCCAGTTTTTGTATTAGCACAACTTTCTTGTATATCCTCACACAGATAGAGATATTAAATAGATCAACACATTATAGTTTTCCTGAAGAAAATGTCATTGTAATTTTATATTTAAACAATCCAAGGACACAATATAACAAAAGAAAAAAAAAACTTAGATGACATTTATGTAAATTTATTTATGCAGTAACACCTTTACACTTTGGAAGTCCCCATGGTGAAGTGGTCAAGCCATCTGCCTCATGCTCTGAAGGTAGTGGGTTGTTTAATGGTTGTATTGTTTGGTTCATGGGGCAACTTTTACGGAGACCCCTGGGGATCATCACCAGAGCTACGGTGTTCATGCTTTGTGTAATATTCTTGGCGGTGGTCAGCCATTGTGTAGAGAGAGACTGAGCCATGTGAGGTAAAACTTGGTGAAATGAAATCGATTCTCTTCAGTTTAACCTTTAACATTTTAACCTTTACACTCGAACATCTAATCTGCTTGTTCTGTCAGGTGGCTTTGGAGAAAACTGTGAGTGTTGTACAAAAAGTGATCCGTCGAACAATTGAGCATGCCAGAGGTGGGTATCGTACCTGTGTTAGAAGATTTGCAGTCATTTTGTCTTTGAAATAAATTTGCTGATTGATTTTGGGATAATATATACCAGAGTTGACCACCTTACAAACACCGGACTTCAGGTTACACCTGGCTGATGCTATTAGGGGTGCTGATCTACACAGATGGGTCTGTTGTACATAAGAGTGCATGGGCATTCACAACTCGCTCTGTAGGCAGAACAGTTCAAGAAGCCAGCGGTGCCTTTTCTGTGACTACCACCGGTATGACGATAGAGGTGATGGCAACGACATGAGCTTTCATGTGGCTGGAATCACAGGATTGTTCTCACGTCTGTATGCTGAGTGATTCTGTGAGCATGATCCGGTGGGTCAAGGCAGACTCCATACGCAGACAGTTGATTGAGACATTGTGAAACTCCCGTGTGCATGCAGTTACCTTCATCTTTGTCGCAGGATATGCAGGTGTTGTTGGCAATGAAAGAGGGAAGTACTGGCTGGTTATGCCAAGTTGTAGATGGCCAGCCTACAGATTATCCTGACATTGTTAATGTCCTTAGAGAGACAGGATGATCGGAGGATTTTGAGAGCAGCGGCGCCACATTACTGCTAAAAATATGAAAATTTGGACTAAAGATCTGCACAGCCAAGAATGAGAGACACACCAGACATACACAAAAGTCTTGTTAACCAGCATAGGACTGGCACTATTAACCCAGGGACACTGATGTTGAAGGGGAAATCTGAGCACCTAAGGACGTGTCCGGAATGCTATGAAGATAACTCAACTCATAAATCATTAGGGGTGCCCAAATTATAACTTCTTTGGAGGCTGAATAGGGTATCAGGGTATCCTGAATTAGCCCTGTTGGTCTACCATGCAGATTGAAATTTTGTAATATCAAAGTGTCAAACCTGGAGGTAGAAGCCCGAAGGGAAAAATGGCCAAGACGATAACATGACCTTGGTTATATCAACCAACAGAAATTACCAAATAGTGCCACTTCTGAGGCATCAAAATATCAACATTCACACACACACACACACAAAAAGGAGCTCATAAATGTGCTATTCGTACTGACTCTGTGCTGTCAGTGTCAAACATGGACAGTCCTACCATTGTACCGACTCTGTGCTGTCAGTGTCAAACATGGACAGTCCTACCATTGTACCAACTCTGTGCTGTCAGTGTCAAACATGGACATTCCTACCATTGTACTGACACTGTGCTGACAGTGTCAAACATGGACAGTCCTACTATTGTACCGACTCTGTGCTATCAGTGTCAAACGTGGACATTCCTACCATTGTAATGACTCTGTGCTGTCAGTGTCAAACAAAGGCAGTCCTACCAAAAACATAAATGCAGAATTACAACATGAGAGATATGTATGAGAAAAGTGGCAGGAAAAACAAGAAGAGACAAGAGTCATCAATGAAGAAGTAAGAGCAACAGTAGGCACAGTACCAGCAAATCATTTCATAGAACATCAGAGAATGAAATGATTTGGTCATGTGCTCAGAATGGAACAAAATCAGCTAGCAGCGAGAGCGAGAACAGCAGGCTACACAACAAGATGCTGATTAAGAAAGAGATGGGTGGAGGGAATGAAAGAGACACTAAACAAAAGCATTATTAAATTAACACAAGCTACGAAACTGGCAAAAGATAGGAAAGTACATCTAACTCCTGTCTGCAATGTTTTAAGGCAGCATGACAGAAGTAGAATGAAGAACAATTTCTAGAGATTAAAGATGATTATGTGGGTCAAAGAAAACTAAGCTAGCAGTTTCTAAAGAATAAGTTTATGGGTAATTATAAAGCTAGAGTTTGTTAAACATTCAAAATATGGAACTATTATTTCTTTTCACTTACCACAGATTTTTCTGTACAATGAAAGCCCCCTCTTGTTTTTGGTTTCCCTTTTTTCTGT